TGTCTCCACGAGGGCCCCAGAGCTGCAGCAAGCTCTCAGCTCCCCACGACCCTCGGGTCAGGAGGGGACAACCCACACGTCTCCTGGTTCAGGTCCCCGCAGCTCCAGCGAGCGGGACCCTCTCATGGGGAGGGTAAACATGGTCGGATGAGCACGTCCGAGTTCAGTCTGTACTGTTTTCCCAGCACCTTTTGACTCGACAGGAGTTGGGAAGGGAGGAACAGGGGCAGGTCCAGGCTGGTGAGGGCAAGCCCTGGAGAGCATGGTCCATCACACAGGCTCTTCGCAGCTTTCTTCCACCTCCCCAGGCTGGAGCAAGGTCCCCAGGACAGAATCACTGCCTGGTGTGGCTGATGAATGGAGTTACCACAGGGGATGGACCATCTCCCCTGGGGAAAGGGGGGGGTGCTGGGGTCAGGCTCTTGCTGAGGGACTCAGTGGAGTCCCAGGAACACCCCAAGAGCGGTGGTTACAAGACAGGAGAGCAGTGCAGTGCTCTACACTTTCCCCTGCTTACAACTGCTAGAGAAGCAGAGGGAATCGATATGGGACACAGAGGATGAGGCACTGGGCAAAGGGGTCAGCTCTGAGGCAAGTCCCCGGTGCCTTGGCATGAGGCTGCAGCCCCCAGTGCTCTGGGGAACACAAGGCCAGCCACGAGTACCAGCCTGCTCCTCCGGCAGTGCCAGAGCGGTGTCAGCAGGGTTTCAAGCCTGTGCCTGTCCTCTGAGATGCCAACAGCATCCCGCCCTAACAAGCGCCATGGCACCAAGGAGCTGGGCCAGCCTGCTGTGCCTCCTCACGCGGGCACTGCCACCGGAGGCCAAGCCACCGAGCCACCCTTGCTCACAGGAGCGGTGGGACACCCAGGCAGCCCCATCCAAGCTCCCCGGTCCACAGCAGTGACACACACATCTCCCTCACAGGACAGCATGTGTGCCTGGGATGCAGGGGAGGCCAAGTCATTAGTGCTGGCACCATGGCAGGGCTCATCTCAAAGCTGCCCCATTGACCAGGGGAACTGCCCTCACGTGAGGAACGTGCAGGAACCCCAAGCCTGCGCTTGCCTCCCTAAACAAGTGCTGGCTCCACCGTGCTGGCAGCTCAGCATCCTCAGCTGCCCTCTGGGAACACTGGTGAAGCATTGGGCAGAGAGCATGGCCAGCTCCAGCTGATGGGAGACATGACGCCATCCCTTATCTCTCTGGGGGGAAGGGAGGGGGCAAATTGCATCCTCCAGGCTCAGGTGCACCAGTAAAAGCTAATTTCAATGCAGAAGGTTCTCTTTACATTTGTCATTACTATTCATGCCATCATCAGGCTAAACACACTGAGTTAACCCTTTGGAGGAGGGACCACAGCAGATGGTTTGAGGAGGAATAATGCAGGTTTCCTCCTGGAAGAGTGCTTCCCACAGCAGTTCAGCCCTGGAGATGTTTGAAAGAGCTGGGGCAGGTTTTCTCCTGCCCAGCCACACTCAGCTCTGAGCTGGGGCAGAGGGACAGCATGCTGGGGATGGGGTGGTCAGGCACAATGGGGATGTGCCACCAGGAGATGAGGTGGTGGCAGGACCTGACCATCAACAGGCACATTACCCCACCGACATCCTTTGCCACAAGCAGTGATCCTCACACGCAGCTCTGAGTTACCTGTCCCCTAGAGACAGCTCTGCTCCTGGCGGGTGGCATCACCAGTGCAGTCCTCACACGGGGACCCAGCCAGCCCACCCCAAGGTCAGCCCTTCCCTCCCCAGGCTCTGCACTGCTGCACCAGCTGATGCTCTCTCCTCTCCTATACAGTTCTCCAAGGAGAAATATATCCTTGACTCGTCACCAGAGAAGCTTCACAAGGAGCTGGAAGAGGAGCTGAAGCTGAGCAGCACCGACCTGCGCAGCCATGCTTGGTACCACGGCCGCATCCCCCGGGAGGTGAGGAGGGGAAGGTGGGTGGCTCTGGGTACCCTTTGCTTGGGCTGCTCAGGGCAAGTGACCCAAGGCCACACAGAACCACCAGCCTGACCATCCAGGAAGCCTCCAGGCAAGGGCTTCATTAGCCCTGAGCTGCCTGGTTTTGCCACAGGAAATACCCTCCTGCGGCTCAGGGGCAAGGGGAATGAGCCGATGCCGCAGTGGAGCACCCACCCATTCCCCCAGTCCATCCAGCATGACCATGCCTGAACCACTGCCCTGTCCCCTGCCAGGTGTCAGAGAGCCTCGTGCAGAGGAACGGCGACTTCCTTATCCGCGATTCGCTCACCAGCCTGGGCGACTACGTGCTGACGTGCCGCTGGCGCAATGAGCCCCTCCATTTTAAGATCAACAAGGTGACAGTCAAGTCAAGCGAGGGCCATACCCGCGTCCAGTACCTCTTCGAGCAGGAGAGTTTTGACAACGTGCCCGCCCTCGTCCGCTTCTACGTGGGCAATCGCAAGGCCATCTCTGAGCAGAGCGGAGCCATCATTTACTGCCCCATCAACCGCACCTTTCCCCTGCGCTACCTGGAAGCCAGCTATGGGCTGGCCAACGGCAAGCATGGGGGACCCCACAGCCCCACCACCCAAAAAGGGGGGCACATCAAGAGGAGGAGCATCACCATGACGGATGGCCTGACAGCAGACAAGATCACCAGGGCTGAGGGGTGCCCGACCAGGTGAGCACACAGTCTCATCCCAATTCAGCTGGGCAGAGGACCAGTCCCTGGGAAAGATGTAGGGCCACGCTTGGTCCCTGTTCCCCGGGTGCAGGGAAGGGGTTTGGGCTTGGGGATGGAAACTTTCCCCACTCAGGTGCAGAGAAAGACCGGCAAAGGTACAGGGGGAGGAACTGGTACCCAGCTGGAACTGGGGTTTTCTGCCAGGCCAGTTGCCAGCCATGTTGAGCTACCGCAACAGACACCCAGCGAGCAGACATGACTTTACATTACAGGCCAGAAGCCAGAGAGTGTTTTACAATCACTCAGTGCAGGATTACCAGCATGTCAGGGCTTGTCAGAGCCAGGGAGCTGAGCTTTCCCAGGCAGATGCAAGGGGAGAGCCAGTTCCAGCCATGAAGAGGGCATTTATTGATTTGTTTTTGAAGGGCCCTTTTAGTTTTAGAGCCCTTTCTGTTCAACTGGAGCATTTACAAGGAGTTACCAAGCAAAGCTGAAAGCCTGATGGGCAGGAGGACACCAACAGAGCTGTGCTGACAGGGGTCCGCACAGCCCCCAGATCTCAGCCTCTGCACAGCTGATCTGCTTATGTTAACCTTGGAGCAGTTGGGCTTCTCTGGAGGTGGAGAAGGAGATCTCCTTCACATGGCTTGCTTTCAGCAGCCCCAGGCTGCCCAGAGCCTGGCAGGGAAGGCAGAGTCACACATACATCCTCACGTGCAGCAGCCGAGGGGGGACCCATCTAGTCCTGCCTCCCCAGCAGGACATAGCCTGTCCCACAGCCTGTCACTGAACCAAGATGCTTTCTCAGTGCCCCAACCTTCTCAGCCCAAGGGCAGGGCGAGAACGTGCCAGTAGAAAACAGGCAACCAAGTGTTATGGCAGAGAAAAGGAAAACACTCAGACTTCCAGGAGAGCATATGTGTTTCCAGAAGAAGAGCCCAGATCCATCAGTCTTTCCTCACCACTCACATTTTCCCCAAACCCCTTATCATCACCACTGCTCTCCCATCCTCCTCCCACTGCAGTGCTCAAGACTGAACACATCACAGCAGCCCAGCCCTCACCCGTGGCAAGGAGAGCAGTGAGTTACCTGCCATGCTTCCCTGCACTCAGCACCTCCCAGACACAGCATCCTTTGCAGCACCATTGACACACAGTATTTGCATCAGGCCACAACTGCTGCCCCACCAGCACAAGACCTCCCTGCTTGCTGTGCAGCTCCTTGAGCACACACGCTGCAGCTCTCCAACCCAGACACCTCACTGCCTGCATCAGGCACCTGCTGGGCTCCAGGTCTGACTTCCAGGTACTTTCCTAAACTTCAAGTCAGAGCAACAGCTCACCTAACCATCCCAACACAGCTCTCAGGTGAAACTAGAGTAATACACCCAGCATCAGATACCACCCTGCAGTACAACCCTAGAACAGTACCCCACCCC